AAAATCTTAAAAAAAAAAAAAAAAAAAGCTTTCAGAGGTTGATCAGCAGCACCCCTCCTCCATCTTCCCCTTCCAGAGGCTGGCAGGCAGAGCTGAAAGCTCCAAGCTTCTAATCATTTGGTATTTCTGCAGACCAGCTCCACTCTGAGTCTGTCAAGAAGCCCACTGAGTCACCTCATTTACATGAGCTAAAGAGCCTTCTTATGAATGACAAAAGACACTCCAATCATTCAGGAAATTCCCAGGGTTTGAGGAGCTTTGTCTCAGGACCAGGTTTCAAAGACTGAATATATTTCCTTTTATACCACACACACCCGTCTTGGATTGCTTGCCCATAGTCCAGGGATTCCCATTCTCTAGTAAGTGTACCTTCCTCCAAACCCCAGCTGTTCAGACCAGAAAGAGAAACTGACCCACTGCAGGGAAATGAACAATGTTCTTGGGGAATATGAAACTGTAACTGAAACCAATTAAAAGCATAAAGCTGAAAAAAAAAAAATGGCCATATTAAGGTCACGGGCAAGGCTCAATTTTAAACTAAGTAGTAAACTTTTCCTCTCTTCCACACCCCTCCCCCCGCCTTCTTGGTCTTTTGTCTCAGGAACCCTGAACCACCCTGAAAACCTGACCAACAAGGCTGGCAGTAGGTAATCTTAGCCCGACCCCTAGAATCCTGTAAGTCTTCTTTAACATAAAAAAACATTCCTTTGGAAACTTCCTTTATCTCTACTCCCCAAGATACATGTTGGCCATCAGCCCCCAAGCATATGACCCACCTACCGATATACATCTGAAGAGTCTCATGACTGAGTTTTTACTAAACAGTAATAAAGGACCTTTTCCTAATGCTAGCTAGTTCCCGCAGGGTCCTGGAAACCTTGCTTCCAAAATACCTGGGTGGCTTAGGCTCTCCCTAATCCCCTCCCAACTTGAAAGTATATAATGGGCCACTCCTCATGACAGGGATCCCCCCACCGCCACGCAGCCTTCTGCCCATGGGTCCTGTCCCTGTGTTTTAATGAAACCACCTTTTAGCACCAAGTTGTCTTAAGAATTCTCTTTTTGGCCGTCGGCTTCAAACCCTAACATCTTTTCCTACATCATTATTGTTCCTGTTTATCCTAAACTCCGTCTTCGCATTCTATTTTGACTCCAAAGCACGGAGGTTGGTTTTCAACACCGTAACTAGGAACCTAATGATGATCTGATTTCTTATTTGTACAAAGATAAAACTATGGTAACTATTTGGTTTGGACATTATCTGCCATGTGGACTTCCTAGGAAACAAGTGAAAAAGAGATGGGTGACAAAAAGAGCTTTTTGGTTTCTCCTCAGTATCCCGGAGTCTGGGTCTCTGGCCCTAGCCTATCCCCAAAACCCAGGACTTCCTTGGGTTCCATTAGAACCCACAATAGGACGTTACTCTTGTAATAAATTCCCATCACTTTGTTAGCTTAGGTAGGTTTCTATTACTTGCAACAGATTGTTAAAACAGATTATCTTTAAAGGAAACCACTGGGTTCGTGTCATATTGGAAAAGTAATTATTTATTATGACAAAAATAAAACTGTTGACTGAAAACAAATGAATGTTACACTGTATTGCACCATGATTGCAAATGAGCCAAAACCTGTCTAAAAGATGAACATTCCAGAGCAAACAGCATCCTTTTTACTTGTGTGAGTAGGCATGCAAGCAACTCATTATAACATAATTGCAGAAATAAAAAAATCCGTTAAGTACCAGCAACCTAAACTTAACATATAAAAGAAGCATTTTATGACAGTAACAAAGCTATTAAAAAATTTAAAACATGTCTTTAAACAGCCCCACCATTAGTAGAACATGCTTTGAACCATTTTCAAGAAGTGATGATGTAAATGCACTAAGTAATTGGTTTGCTCTTTTTATTTTATTAATGCTATATATTAGACCATTCGCACACACTTCAGTTGCTTGGCTGGGGTTAAGAAGCACAGTTTGTGGCATGAAAAACATTCTTTTTTCCCTTCTATGCAATACCAAGGGACCCACAGAGAGATCCAATTCCTAATTTTGTCCATATTAACACCATCTATTTTGACCAAGCTGATTAGCAAAGATACTGTTACAGCTTTTGTAGAAAGCCTGAAGCTTGATGAATAACAACAGTTTGTATTTCAGCCTTAAGAAATGAACATAAATATAAATACACTTTAAAGTAGTTTTACATTCTGAGGCAAGAAGTATATTTTACAGGGCCTGCTGTTTCCTCTTTAATGCTCTAAAGCACCAATTTATGTGAAGATGGCAATGTGTGATTATAACCATTATATTCTGCTTAGGAGAAATCCAGGGACAAGGCTGTAATAGCTTTTAGTTTTTGTTTTTCTTTTTAAAAACCATACTCTGTGTAACAGATAAACAGGGTAAAATGTAATACTATCACATAATTGGAAAAAAATCATAACCATCATTTTATAATTCACGCTTTTAACGAAATAGCAGCTTAACTTTTTTAAAATTGAAATTAAAAATTTCATAACTACACTGAACAGTTTACTCCAAGAGAATAAAAGAGGGGCTTGTCGAGTCCCTGAACTTCCTGAGGGAAAACATAAGAGGATTAAAATAATCACTATGAATAGGGACAAAATATGCAAAGAAATTAGGCACAACTAAGATCAAATGATAGTCATTTGACATCCTCCCAACACGTAATGAAATATGGTCACAGTATAATATAATTGATCAACTTTTAGGGTTCTTCCTTGCCCTTATTTATTTTTTTTTTTTGCCCTTATTTGATTTTTAATGAAATGAATTAAGTACTGACTGAGCACTTGCCTGTATGCTTTAATGAAGACGGTACGTGAATCTGCTATACCATGCCAGCCCTGCCAGCCACAACCAAGAATAAAACGAAATAGAATCTCCAAAGACTGCTATCCCTTACATGTGAATTTTGCATATTTCAAATACAGTTGGAATGAAGGGGGAGTATTTATGGGTGTAACATCCCACAAGCTTCAGCAAAGCACCTTATGGACTGAAAAATGAGGTAACTTCTTAATTAAGATTTTACAAGTTTGTGCAAGAGAACATTTCCATTCTTCTAGAACTCTGTCATCTATTCCAAAAGATATGTACGGCACATTTTATTATTTCTCCATTTCTAGGAGATGATGCAGATTACCAATTTAAGAAAAAAATAAAAAAGATGTGACTGACAACAGTAACAAATTCCAAAAACCTGATCAGTCTTTGGTCGTTTGGCCACTTTAAAAGTAAGATATCTAGCTCTACAGTAAAGAGACTATACTTTCTAGCAATTTTAAGTGCCTTAAATGAGGGAAATTCACTGTTTTCATTCACATTTTGTCTTACTTAATATCCTTTTGAAGGTTTTTCTACCTCATGTTTATCTTTACTACCAAATGCTTCTACTTCATTTCTAGGTACAACTCTATACCCCAAATTAACCTTTCTCAAACATTTTACCAAATCATATACATTTAAAAGTGATTTTGGATCTGTTGAACACAATATTTTTTCTACTTTAAATGGAGAATTAAAAAAAAATAAATGGAGAAAAAAAATTTTTTTAAATCGATCTTCTCTATTTACTTTTGGCTACCTGGAATTCTTTCAAAAATACTTTCTGGGAACCTTGGATTTCAGGCTTCACAGTAATGCTAAATGAGTAAGGAGGAGACATTACTGAAGGAACCAACCTTGAATGTAAACTACTCTCAGATTTACAGAGACGTTTAGTAAAATATTGACAGCCTGGCTACACGCTCCTTTCAATACTGAAAGGCAAACAGAACTGGGAGTTTGGGGAAGCATCTAACGCCAATAGACTCTGAACAAACTGACCACTTCTAATTAATAAAAGCCAGGAAAATAAGCAAGATATTCTCTGAAAGAGAGTACTTTAAACACAACACTGGTGTTTTATTAGCAGCAGCTTAAAATAATTTTTTAAGCAATATGGCTTATTTTCTCTTCTGCATTATCATTAGCTCTTAGCTCAATTTAAGCTGAGTAGCAGTTACTAATTGATACTTTGTTTTCTTATTTGATTGTATTCATGAACTAAATGAAATGAAAATGAGGTGAGAATCAAAGAACAGACAAAAGTGAATTTAATTTCATATTACATGTCCCTTCCTGGTATTTTAACTTTTGGACTTTAATGTAGTATATAAGGAATTAGGACTTTAAAACCAAGATAATGGAGTTCTAGTTGGCTTAAGTTTCTCAATATGGGAGAAAACAAAAAGGCTGTGAACAGTAACCATCTAAGGTCAACTAGACAATTAATGGCCAAATTAAGATTCAAATCCACCTCTTTTGACAGCCAGCACAGTATTCTATTAGATACAAGTTAACAGACTACATCTTGAAGTGACTTTACCCCAACAAAACATAAAAGATCCTCTTTTAGAATTGAACTGAATATGAAATATTTTAGATCCAAAGCCACAGAGAAAACTTTAGACTCGGGAAGTTGGTCTTCAAATATAAATGTCAATGGAATTTACCCATCCACAGGCATAATACCACTACATTTATCTACTGATATAGTTTTCCATAGCTAAGAATTAAATGAGTGCTAGTCACAAGCAATCCCATGTCTAAATTTGTCCTAAGATACTACACGAAAAAGATTTTTTAAAAATATAAAGATTTATTGATTTCCTTAAAATTTTCTTTGCTGACTCCCCATAGTTCTTCAGAGACTATTGTTTACAGCACTGCCTGTATCACTCACCATTTCATAGGAAAATAATTTTCTCTTTATGCTATAGAAAATAAAAGTTAATTTATGCTTAAACAAAAGGACTTTGGCTATAAGGGTAAGTGCCCATTTAAAAATTATTTTTAACAATAAAACTTGAATTTATTATCTTTCTTCTAAGGAATATAGAATAAAATTATACCTTGAAGCACACCTAACACAGAACCTAAAAGCAAAAATTACATATTTAACCATGAGTTTTCCAATAGATTATATAATATATATATATATATAATTTCAGATTTTAAGGAATTAAATTACACTAAGAATACAAATTATGTAGTATATTCCCATATAAAGGGGCCTGTTAATTCTGAGAGTTCCCAAATGTGCTGCAATAACAACAGTGGGTTTAAACATTAAGAATGTAACATGTTCAAAATGGAGAAAAATACCGTATTTGGGTGGCAGTTACATTTCAGTTCTAATAAAATATTTAAACTTTCATTGCTTCATCCTCAAAATAAAAATAAAATCTAGAATAATCTCCCAAAAGTAATGTGGGTGGGTCCCCTGCTTTCCACTTTGCTAGGCAACTGAAGGGTTGGTGGGGAGGTGAATCTTGAATTATTTCATTGTCAAGTTAATCAGCTGTTAATCTGACTTCTAGAGAACAGGTATAGTACAAAACTGAGAATTCATCTCAAAATGTGAATAAAGGCACTAATTACAAATTTACATTTTTCATCAAACAATATTTTATAGTTGATTGACAATGAATGTCCTAATCAATGCTTTAGTATGAGGTACCTGCTTGGGTCAAACAAAACATTCTCTTGGAGTAAAGGATAATCAGTTTTCTTATCAATGTAACAGGAAATCTCTAATGAGAACCTATAAAACACCTTTAAAAAGTCTTACATGAATTTTCTATTTAAACTCTTCCCAATCACTGCCACAAAAACTAGTGGGATATCGATTTCATTATCAACGCAGCTAACATAAACCATTTCTAATCCCAAACTAACAAAACGCTTTTTAAAAAAATTTAGAAAATAAAATAAATTGTATTTTAAAAAATTAAATAGCAAACTTGAATCTATACTAGTAGTTGTTTGACAAAATACAATCAACTAATAAAAACACTTTCAATATAATGCTGATGTGGTAATATAAAAAAATAACCGTATAATTTGATAGAAGAAAACTGAGCCAGCCAATCTTACTAGATATAAGAAGATAAATTTCATAATGAGGATGGATACAAGGGTATAAATACGTTTTCTCAGGATGGAGCTAAGAGAATTATCCTCAGTATTTATGGCTGAACTCTATAACCAAGACAGAAATTCTGGCAAAGTGTGCTTTAGGTAAATGGTTGTCTTCATAATTCTTCCTGCTCCCTGCCCCCAAGCACATAACACGAAGCATCCATATTGATTTATGTTTGCTTTTTCTCTCATGTTCTAGATTATGGATTTTATTAAAAACAAAATTTACCCTCTACTTGGTATAGAATCACTAAGAAAAAGGTTCAAAACAAGGTTAATAGACCACTAGTTCCCAAAGTCCAGAAAGCTTTCCTCCGGCCATTTTTCAGTTCTAGGGTGTGCTACCACTAAATAGAAAGAAAATGTTACCACATTCAATTAGACTAAATATAATAAATCAAGTATACCTGAAAACAGAGCAAAAGTAAAACCAATTTACAATAAAAATATTAAAATTGAAATACCACTTTTGAACAGGTATTTTGAAATTCTTATGAACACTGAATCCTATTTTTGAACCAAATGAAAAAAATACTGCAAAAATGAATTATTATTCTCTAAGTATGCATTTTATCCCTTTCATTATAGCAAAATCACACATTTGAAATAAAGGATCAAAATTATAATATTTGTCCTCCCTCTAAAGTATGCACTATTTATATTACTGTTCATATTAGACAACTGCCTTGAAACTTTTCAATGATATGTAATAAACTTCTGATAGCATATGACTTTTTCTTCCTATTTTTAAATTTATAAGATGTTAGTGTTAACTTTCAGTCTCCTAGTAATACTTTAAAAGCTAGGATTAAATTCAGCAGTTTCCTGTAACCCAGCAAAAGACTTTAGAACATCTTGTTCTATAAAGATGGCAACTGTTTTAAGACTATTAAACTATAACCTCAGATAGATTTAAGGAAAAGTCATATGGTTTTCTAAGTATAATATACTGCTGGTGGTAGAAACACTTCAAATTCACACACAATTTCAAATTTTTAAGAAATGAAATGTTAATACTCTGCTTCAGCTATTGCCCAAAGCAGATGTGCTCTCCCTTGCAAATGGAATAGTTGAACTTTCTGCTGATAATAAAAGTTGCTTATAATTGATAGTAAAATATATTCCAAGTGCCTTGTTTTGATAGTAGTGCTGGTGTGCTTTAATAATTTCTGGTAGTTAATTTATCTGTTGAATAATATGACATTTTTAAAATATCAGATTTATCAAAATATTTACCATCAAAGTTGGGCTTTCAAATATTTTTCCTTGATTAGTTTTCAGTAAAAACTAATCTCGTGTTAGAGGCAGAAAAGTGAATTTAATTCTTTTAGATAAACAGCCTACTTAATTTCCACGCTAATAGTAAGTTAAAATTATTCCATGACTTGCAATAATGTGGGAGAAATTAACTTAAAGGCAGTTCTCATTATGGTCAGTCTTCCTTATATGTAAGTATCTTCTAGGTAGATTTCTTTCTCTATAGTAAGTTCTGTTCAAAAGGTAAGTGGTTTGAAGAGGCAGCAAATATTTAGTGCTAGTTAAGTTTGCAAGCAGAACCTGATGATTTCCACTACTAGCATGTCAAACCAGTAATTATCTGGTAGGGAGAGGGGGTGGTCAAGAAATGAAAGAAATTGGTCATTAAAGTTATTACAATACTTTGGAAAACATTAAACATATGACAAACATTTCTTACAAGGCAGTCATTGAATAGTTAGAATCAGCAGTCAGAAGAATTATGTTGCTGAAAACATAGTTACACATTATGTTCATCCAACTGAAGATTAGTGCATTAAAAAAAAGTTAAGAAAAAATCTTTTATGTTCCAGTTCAGCTGCACTTGATTCAAGTGTTGCTCATAGAGGTTTGTGTTGTTATAAATTAAACATGCTGCTGCCTTAGCAGCCAAAGGTACTAGGAAAATGTTCATGTCACAGAATAAATAGAGCAGTCTCTTTTCAAGCAAAAAGTTATCTCACACCGATCCGGGAGGTCATCCACTCTAGACCTTGGCATAACCTGAAACAAAAGACAGAAGTATTTTCAAAATGGAAATACTTAAAATTGAAAGCATACTTATTATTTTTAAGTCTTACCCAAATGTTGATACTGCGGTAATGATTTATATAGGCAAGTAAAATATGTAGATAACACCAAAAGTGCAATTTTTAGCCTTTTTTTTTTTTAATTTTTATTTATTTATTTATTTATTTGACAGACAGAGATCACAAATAGAGAAGCAGGGAGAGAGAGGAGGAAGCAGGCTCCCTGCTGAGCAGAGAGCCCGATGCGGGGCTCGATCCCAGGACCCTAGGATCATGACCTAAGCCGAAGACAGAGGCTTTAACCCACTGAGCCACCCAGGTGCCCCCAGAAGTGCAATTTTTAAGTGGAAGATTCACTTAGACAAAATGATGGGACCAGATTAGTTGAGTAATTGGGAAATGGTTTCAGTCTCATCTTGAAGATAACCCAGCTCTACAATCAAGACTGCAAATACTCCTCTCCCCCTTTTAAGATTAAAACTGAAACCACTACAGAAAGACAACAGGAACTCTCCCCTACGCACCTAAATTCTAAAGAATGGAATGCTTATGGCCCAGTCTTAGGATAGGTCAAAAAGTCTACATGGAGCTATTTTATTACAAGCTATTTCCAATAGGAGCATAACAAAGAAGGTCAGGTTGATCAAAGGACAAATAAGCTCCTGGAAATCAACTAGATAAGTCACATGTAACACGCTGGGTTCTCTTTGGCCTACTCCATCCAAATTCAAGTTCTCAGGAAAGAAGAATAAGCTATAGGAAGCAGTTATCTCAAATGTCTCCTCTCTCGAAGTATGTCCCCTGAAAGGATTCCTAATTAGAAAGGAGATGTACTCTTGTGGAAAGCTGAGAGCTCATGCTTTATTAAGGCTTTACAGAAAATCTGAAATTGCTTTGAAGCTTCCTCTTTAATTCAGGTTAACTGTAATGCTGTATGCAAGAAACGAAACAGCAACTAAAAATCTGTATTGTGACAACTTCATCCAGACATTTGTTATTGACTTTTTTGTTAAAATACTTTGTTTATATTAAAAACTACAAAAAATGTGTTAATAACTCTGCTAAAGTGTAAATTAACAGTAACGGACTAAAATTATTTCTACCTTAAATAATTGAAATACAATACGAAAACTATCTTTAAGAACAAAAAAGGGAATAGGATCAAAGAAGAAAAGTTGACAGAAATTTGAAAGAAGTCATAGCTCCCCTCATACCGTTTAGCACTTACCCTTCTCCTGTTAAAGCACAGCAGGACTGAATGTGCCACGGATGATCCTTAATTGAACTAAGGGTGAGGTATTTAGAGATTTCAGCTGCTGTCATGCACCCTTTCATATCCTGTTTATTTGCAAAGATAAGGACTGCAGCCTTCCGTAAATCCTGCAACCAATATGAAATATTTCTAATACACAAAAAACCACAATTCAAATTAAACTAATGCATCAGGAAGGTCAGATATGCCTAACTGGACAGTTATAATGAAATCCTTCTACTTTAAAATGATTAGGCAGTAATATTTAAATTTAACAATTTTATTGATAGGCACCTGGCTGGCTCAGTCGGTAGACCACACAGCTCTTGATCTTGGGACTGTGAGTTCAAGCCCCATAGTGGGCCTAAAGCTTACTTAAAAAATAAAAACTAATAAATAAACAAATAAAAGTTGTACTGAAATGAAAATAAATTTCCTCAAATAATAGTAATTTAATGATTGACTCTGACAAAGATAGGCTTATTAACTATAAGCTAGATAATCAAAAGTTATATTGTTGGGCCAAAAGTAAAATAAACATGCATCTTAAACACTGATTTAAAACTATGAGCGGGGCGCCTGGGTGGCTCAGTGGGTTAAGCCGCTGCCTTCGGCTCAGGTTGTGATCCCAGCGTCCTGGGATCGAGTCCCACATCGGGCTCCTTGCTTGTCGGGGAGCCTGCTTCTCCCTCTCCCTCTGCCTCTGCCTGCCATTCTGTCTGCCTGTGCTCGCTCTCTCTCCCTCTCTCTCTCTGACAGATAAATAAATAAAAATCTAAAAAAAAAAAAAATTAAAAAAAATAAAAACTAATAAATAAATAAATAAAAGTTGTACTGAAATGAAAATAAATTTCCTCAAATAATAGTAATTTAATGATTGACTCTGACAAAGACAGGCTTATTAACTATAAGCTAGATAATTAAAAGTTATATTGTTGGGCCAAAAGTAAAATAAACATGCATCTTAAACATTGATTTAAAACTCTATGAGTGGGGCGCCTGGGTGGTTCAGTGGGTTAAGCCACTGCCTTCGGCTCAGGTCATGATCTCAGGGTCCTGGGATCGAGTCCCGCATCGGGCTCTCTGCTCAGCGGGGAGCCTGCTTCCCTCTCTCTCTCTGCCTGCCTCTCCATCTACTTGTGATCTCTCTCTGTCAAATAAATAAATAAAATCTTTAAAAAAAAAAAAACTCTATGAGCAATGATACTCTAACGGGCAAATATGGTAATATGTTACCAAATACTACAGAATTTCTCCAAATTTAAAGAGGAGGACTGAGGGTAAGAGCTGGGTAATACTTATCTTACTTACTAATATTGGACCAGACTAACTGTATTTCATTAATGTTCACTGTAGAACTGTTCAAACTATCAAAATTCAGAAGTAACCTAAATGTTCATTAAATGAAGAACAGATCAAAAAAAAAAAAAGGAGAAGATCGATCAACTGTGGTTTAATCATACACCAGGACTCTACAGAGTTGTCAGAAAGAATGAACTAGAGCTCTATGTATGGACATGGATAATCACAATTGTCCAAAAAAACCCAAAACTGAGTTACGAGGAAAAAAATAATCTTTTTTTTTTTTTAAAGATTTTATTTATTTATTTGACAGAGACAGAGATCACAAGTAGTCAGAGAAGTAGGCAGAGAGAGGGGGAAGCAGGCTCCCTGCTGAGCAGAGAGCCCGATGTGGGGCTGATCCCAGGACCCTGAGATCATGACCTGAGCTGAAGGCAGAGGCTTTAACCCACTGAGCCACCCAGGTGCCCCGGAAAAAAATAATCTTGATTATATAAGATTTTATGAACAATGAAATGTAATATTTCGTACAACTGACAAAAATGTAGGGAAAGTATAAAAATATACATGGGATTGATAATCACTACTTTTAAGATAATGTAATTCTCTCAGAATTCTTTGACAGAAAGGAAGAAAATGAGATTGGTGGGTCACATAAGATATTTCATATCTTTTTTTTTTTAAAGATTTTATTTATTTATTTGACAGAGAGAGATCACAAGTAGAGAGGCAGGCAGAGAGAGAGAGAGAGAGAGAGAGAGAGAGAGAGAGAGAAGCAGGCTCCCTGCTGAGCAGAGAGCCCGATGCGGGACTCGATCCCAGGACCCTGAGATCATGACCTGAGCCGAAGGCAGCGGCTTAACCCACTGAGCCACCCAGGCGCCCAGATATTTCATATCTTAACACTGAATGGCTGATGGACAAATGTGTTTTATTTTCTAAGTCTTTTGTATATCTGAAATAGAATTAAGTGAACTCAGACTATTCACTAAAGGCTTTTCAGTCATAAACTCTTGGGGGAAAAAACCACTTAAATTTTTGTCTTTCTTGCTTCATCAGGCTCTTTAAGGCATTAATAAGTGGTTTAAACTTTGAAAAATCTTGTAACAGTAACAGTCTACAAATTAATGTATTGAGCTTTTCCAAGTTTGAAAATGTTATGAAACTTTTTGACTTTAAGACTTTCATCAAAATATAAAATTCTGTTAATGATGAAATAACCAACAGCAAAGCCCATAATCTTTGTAAAAAAGCACAACCAGTATACAAGATACCTTACTCCATGGTTTATGTTTTTATGTTTGCTTTCAAAATTTACCTCATGAGCCAACATTCTGTATAGTTCCTCTTTTGTAATGGCTAGTCGTTCCCTGTCAATGCTATCAACAACAAGAATGATGAACTAGAAGACAACCAAAAAGAAAGAAAATTGAATGAAACCTTGAAGTTTTATGCAAAACTACTCTCAGTGAGAGTACTTTCTTCACAAGACATCATTACCATAAAATGGTCTACTGCTTTTTCATCATAAGGAATTTATATTCTACTGTAAAATCCAAATGTTAATAAGAAAATAACTCATAATTTCAACAGACAAAAGCTATATCCGAAGTTTATTTTGAAAAGGTGATCTCTTAAAACATCAAACTCTGTAATACGAAGATTTATTTGTAAATGCAGGTAACAAAAAATAAATTTCAAAGGGAAAGTCACAGTAATTTAAATAACTTTTACTAAAACTTGAAAATACTCGACGACTGCTCATTTGGCAATCAGTAATTATTTATGTTTCAGACAGTCTCCCGCCCACTAGAAAGGAGCACACAAGTTTTAAAGAAAAAGAGAAGCAAATTTAGAAAAAAAACAACAACCGATAAACAAGACGTTTTAACACAAGATCAACAATAAGAGCCCCAGAAAAAAGTGCTAAATAGAAACATACCTATTTAGGGGTTAATATGCTAGAGGGGATGGAGCTGAAACTAAAGAGGGGCAAGCACAGAGCACTGGAGAAAGCGAAAGGTGGGTCTTACACATTAGAAATAAAAGGATCTTTGGTAAGAAAAATAAGAAGATATAGTGCCAAGGGCCCCTAATTGAATATCTCAGAAGAAAAAGTTAAGAAGTGAGATTAAGCAAAGCTAAGGTTGTAACAGAGGAATGACGCAGAATAAACGGAGAGAGGGAGGGTGACACCAGATTGTTCAGAAAGAGACAAAGAGAGTGATCTGCATATACAATGTGAAGGGCTTCACAGGGGATAAAAGGGAAGAGACTAGAAGGAAGAAATGTAAAAACAGTGGCAAAATGAGCAGGGACAGAACACGGGGAAGTGACACTAACGACAGAAGTTGTCAGGAATCTGCCAACAGCTGAACTCCTTGCATTATGACGGAGACCTTTGGCTTTTGGAGGTCTCAAGGTAAGGAATTTAAGAAGGTGACGAGGGTGAACAAAGCCAGCAGGGAAACACCACACAGACAGGATGCCCACCTGGCATCTAAGATCACAACTGCTAGGTGCTGCGCTGGCGTGCTGCGGGAAAGGCCAGAGGGTCTTTGTGTACCAATTTTGAAATTCTTACAGAAAGAGTTTATTAAAGAAACATTCCATACAAGTGGTGTCATTAATAACATATTTCTTTCTGGACCACCAACTCTAACCTACTCACGAGAGCTGCGGCTCTCCTTCTCACACCTGCAGTCACACACACTGAGCTCAGCCACTTAAACACAGGTGAACAGCATGGGACTGACTGAACAGATCCCCTTCAATGAGATTTTTTTAACTGTGTAGCCAGTGCTGTACATACCTTTTTTCTTATGATTTTCTTAATAACATTCTTTTCTCTAGCCTACTTTATTGTCAGAATACAGTATACAGTCTGTACAACATACAAAATATGTGTTAATCCACTCTATGTTATCAGTAAGGCTTCTGGTCAACAGCAGGCCGTCAGTCAAGTTTTTGGGGAGTCAAGTCATACACGGATTTTGGATTGTGCAAGTGGGTCAGTGTCCCTAACCCCCGCATTGTTCAAGGGGCAACTGCAGTCATCATAAGAGACTGTTTATCTCTTACTTCCCAACGTGTTTTCATTTCAGAATGTTATTTTATGATAGAAGTATGTATTAAGCTCATTTTTTGCCCTTTAATACATATTTCTGTCATAAAATAACATTCCAAGAACAGACACTTCTCCAAAGAAGACATACAAATGGCTAGCAGACACATGAAAAAATGTTCATCATCACTAGCCATCAGGGAGATTCAAATCAAAACCACATTTAGATACCTCCTTATGCCAGTTAGAATGGCCAAAATTAACAGCACAGGAAACAACATGTGTTGGAGAGGATGTGGAGAAAGGGGAGCCCTCTTACACTGTTGGTGAGGAATGCAAGTTGGTGCAGCCACTTTGGAAAACAGTGTGGAGATTCCTCAAAAAATTAAAAGTAGAGCTACCCTACAACCCTGCAAATGCACTACAGGGTATTTACCCCAAAGATACAGATGTAGTGAAAAGAAGGGCCATATTACCCCAATGTTCATAGCCGCAATGGCCACAATTGCCAAACTGTGAAAAGAGCCAAGATGCCCTTCAACAAATGAATGGATAAAGAAGATATGGTCCATATATACAATGCAATATTACCCAGTCATTAGAAAGCATGAACACCCAACTTTTTTATCAACATGGATGGGACCGGGGGAGATTATGCTGAGTGAAATAAGTCAAGCAGAGAGTCAATTATCATATGGTTTCACTTACTTGTGGAACATAAGGAATAACACGGAGGACATTAGGAGAAGGAAAGGAGAAGCGAATTGGGGTAAGTTGGAGGGGGAGACGAACCGTGAGAGAAACAAACTGAGGGTTTTGGAGGGAGTGGGAGGAGAGGTGAGCCTCGTGGTGGGTATTAAGGAGGGCACGTATTGCATGCAGCACTGGGTGGGGTGCATAAACAATGAATCTTGGAACACTGAAAAAAATAAAATAAAAAAAAAGAAGTATATATTAAGCTAATCTATAACCATATTTGCTAACCATCCTATCTTACCCTGCAAATAAAAAGAAGTAAGTGCTGCCACCACTGCTAAAAATCTATGATATGTCATTTGGTTCTGTCAGTCACAAACTGCACTGGAATATATCCACAGATACTCATGTGATTGCAATATCATCTCAAGGATTTATTTTAAAAAAGAATCATTCAACAAAACTTCCTTACATTTCCCACCTCCTCAGCACATCCCCTTCAAAACACTCACTCAATTTTTAATAGGCTTCATTTTAGAAAAAAAAAAAAATTGGTTAGATGTACCTGTTTGTAAAGAGAAATTATGGGTGCAACTGTACATTAGTGTACACAAAGATAAATCTCTCAATAGCACTGCATTGGTTTAAAAAAAAATCTGCCTCCAACAAGAAATAAACAGAAATAGAAGCTAATCCAGACGGTTTCCCAGGTTGGGTCTGAAGTAGTAAAGTAATGAAATAACTGACAGAGAATTTGGGGGAGGGAGGGACTATAAATTCATTTTTTAAAACTAAAATATAATCTCACCAAAGATTTGAATTTTGGAAATCCTGTGTTAAATTATGCTTAAAATATTTTATTCCTCCCCTAACCAGAGCCTCATCAAGCTGTGAGATCTTGAGACAGATTATCTGATTGATCCCCGTCCTTGCTTGGAACTCACAGACGCGATACAGCAAACCCACAACAAACAGTGAGAGTTACTCTTTCTACTGGCCTTTTCTCTTCTAATTGAAAACCTCACATTCCTTACAGAACACGATCTTACGGAGAAGCAACTGTCAATATGCCTTCATGTACAGCCTATCTCTTTTCTGTGCTGACTCTTTGGTTCTTTGTATTAATATTTGGAAGGCAACTTGGATACCTCTGTGTTTGAGTAATACGTGTTCCAGGATGAGCGCAGTGACTCCTGACCACCAATATCCCACATGAGAAAATGAGTGTTCTTCACAACTATTTCTTCGACGTTGCTTCCTATGGTTGGAGATGTATGAACCACTTCATTCATCAAGCTGTTGAAAGACAGCATAAAAAAATCTTTGGTAAATCTTGAGAATCTGAAGGAAGTTTTATCTCTCTATTTTGAGAATCAATCACCCTTCCTCAATTGCACCGATGATGGTAATCATTAACATCAAAACCTTAGAGCACATTTGTACAAACAAATATCTAGACAAAGAACAACTCCTGAAGAAGACTTTTTTTTTCTTTTAGTGGAATAAATTAAAGCCTTGTTTGGAGAGAAAGGAACACCATGGTGTGAATTTGTGTTTCTGTGGCCAAGATTCCAGTACCACCATGCCCTGTTATCAGAGCAGTGCCCAGTGCCTCTTCCTGAAAGAGCAAGCTTCCTGGTGACTGTGACATCAATATTTGCAAAGTAGCAACCACTGACCAGTAGGTTATGCTATGTATAATTGTGAAGATTGTTTAGGTGAGAAAATTGAGACTCAGGCCTGTCCACCTAAACTACAGCTTTAAAAAGATAAGGCTATAGACAAATGAAAATTTTAATTAGAATAACTATAAATACGTTTAGAACACCAATGCTCATACCCACATAGATTATCATAATTCTTGGCTAAGAGAATTAGTTCGTTCAACAAATACATACTTGCCTATAAGTCAGTACTTATAGGCAAGTATGACAGAAGCCTATAACTGCACTGTCTCTTGGGTTTTATGTATGTTTTTGCAGTTATGTGGAAAACTATTTCAACAATTGACAGGTTTCTGAGATGTTTATATCTGATGTTAAAGGCGAAATCATATTAAAATACATAATGGCCAATGAATATTTTAAAGTAAAATAAGTAGTTATTCGCCTCTAAAACAACAAGCCACAAGTTAGGAGCTTTTTAGCAAAGTTGCTGAAAACTACAGGCATTGCATAAGTGAAGTATTTCTGGAGAGTCGTCAGCTGACACACTTAGCACGAGGTGGAAAGAGAGAAGAACCCGACAACTGTGCACTGTTATCTAATAACTACTTGTTAAAATGCTTGGGACACAGATCCATTTCCACTGCTTAATGTAGATTGTTCCATGAACACTGGAATGATAATGGGAGCTACTCTGACAAGCAGACTGATGGGATGTTAAAACTCCTCGCAAGTATTAATGTCTTTCTCTGGAAGTCTCAAGCCTTTCCCTGCTGCAAGCCAGAAAAGCAGTACTTTCCGGGGTGACCTTCATTTCTTTGGATTTGACGAGTCTGGCTACATGCAACAATTCAGAGCTATCAATCAGGAGAGGAGTAATGAGCTTCCTCTATTCACATGAACCGCAGATGCAAGAAGAATTAAGTGAAACGCGCTTTATCACTTCACTCCAGCACTATTATGTGTACTTTATTCATTTTAGTTTAATATTCTTTCTTTCAAGGCCAGAATAAGACAAGTGTCTGTGAAGGCTCTAGCAAACACACAGAAGTTTTACTCACTTTTTAAACACATTTTATGCTTGGTAAAATACAAAACCTTATGCTGGAGCTTTTCTGTTTTATTACAATGGCCCCTTATTAATTACATAAAACTAGTTCTAATAACTAAAATAACGAAAACTGTTTAAGTAAATAACTATACTTACAATTGGTAAAGAATGGTGGTTTTCCCTGCATTATCCAGTCCCACTATAATTACTTTGTGTTCTACAAAAAGAAAACAAACCATAAACATTTAACACTACTGCATACTACAATTACATGCTTTCAAAATGATTATTAGTTAGCTTTCTAATGAGAATCATTCACTGGATACTTATTACTGGATTCTTAAAATACAGAGTGAAGAGAACTTCATGGTGTCAAGGTCACCTGCGTTAAGTGAGACAGTCTGGTATGATGTCCTCCACCTGGTTGTCTTGTAAGAGAGTGAGCTATGGGTAGGAGGGAAGTACAAGAGAACCTGCTCACAATACTGTTTGGGAGGAAAAACACAAATTCTGGTCCTGACAAGGCATTATGACTTAAAACGTAAGTTTAAAAAAAAATTGTTTGGGGGCACCTGGGTGGCTTAGTGGGTTAATCACCAGACTCTTGATTTTGGCTCAGGTCCCCATCTCAGGGTCCTGAGATCCTGCTCTGCATTGGGCTCTGCACTCATTGGGGAATCTGCTTGTTCCTTTCCCTCTGCTCCTCTGTGCCCTCCTCCCCCTCAACTAAATAAAATCTTAAAAAAATTGTTTTACGCATCTGCTTGTCAACTCTGCTAATCAAATTAGCTTTTTATCAAGTTGTTTTTACACCTGGAAATTCTCCCACCTATATATAACCAAGATTTCTTTCTTCCTTTCATGAAGAAATCCAATTTAAAACATAAAATTGAAAAGGTTTCCCAGTCACTAACAAGACATACAACATACTCTCTCAGTATCTTATTCTTTCCATTAATCAACAGATAAATAAGCATTTACTTAGTCCACAATGATTGTTTAATCTGGATTTTACAAAAATTTTTTAAAGATTTTATTTATTTATTTGACAGAGAGAGCACAAGCAGGGGGAGCAGCAGGCAGAGGGAGAGGGAGAAGCAGGCTCCACAGGGAGCCCGCCCCATGGGGCTCGATCCCAGAACCCTGAGATCATAACCTGAGCCAAAGGCAGACACTTAACCGACTGAGCCACCCAGGCGCCCCCAACTTTTTTTTTTTTTTTAAAGATTTTATTTATTTATTTTGAGAGAGAGAGAAAGAGAAGAGAGTGTGTGCAAGCGATAGCACAATGGTAGGGAGGGGAAGAAGCAGAGGGAGAAGCAGATTCCCCCCCTGGGATCATGACTTGAGTCAAAGGCAGGTGTTTAACCAACTGAGCCACCCAGGTGGTCCTGGATGTTACAACTCTTTTGAGCAGGTACTATCTCTGCTCTTCATGCAACAAAAACTTCCATCTTCTTCTGGTGCCATGCACAGAACAGTCACTTGTTTCACAAATTTTAAAGCCCACCTAATTATTCTGTTAAATGGTACATAATCTGAAACCTCCTTTGAACACAGTTGTGAGAAAATACTCTAGAATCATCTTTTCTAGATGTTAACCTTTACAGAAGATACCTCTCGTCCCCAGGGCAGAATGCTTAAAAAACTACTAGTGAACCTCCGAACCACAACACAATCGATTTATTTTTAGCCAATGATCTGACAAATTTCCTATCACAACCCTGCTCTTCTTGTTAACCTATGATGAATGTCAAAATTTTGGTTATACATTTCATCAAATATCATCTAGTATTCCTACTCTAAAGTGTTACTTTGACTGTATCAGTCAAAAAGAGGGGCCATAATTCACAGACAAGTTCCTAGGTGACAAACCATGTTAGTGCCTTCCAATGACCTGAACACTCTCAGTGCTGCCTATAATACTGCAGGACAAATGCCACGGTCCTCTGGAAGGGCTTTTTCCCACTATGGCAGAAACTGCTCTACAAAAAAACAAAACAGAACAAAACTTGTTTGCTTATTGTAACTTACTATCATTCTCCTTTTTGACTCTTTTGGTTCATAACCCCTATTTTCTAACACAGCCAATCTTTAAGTGTCGCCCTATCTTTCTCCCTTCTGGTACAAGAATGAGAACCCTCTTGTTCGTGGAAGAACAAGCATTCTAGATTTTGGTGACAGCTGGAAACCACCTGCCTGGCATCTGGAACCCATGGGGTCCCTGCAGGAGTAAGAAGGAAGCCACTAGTGTGGAAGGAGGCTACACTGAGGGGCAGATAGGGGAACAAAAGCAGTACCAGATGGCTGGTCCACTGCTGAGGCAACTGAAGTGAACCAACACCCAGGGCCATTTTCAGAGTCCTGCTCCCTGCTTCACATTTTCTATTATGATGATGATCACAATATTTAAGGCATATGATGGCAAAATTCATACACAGTGCATCATTTTGAAAGACTGGTGCCCAATGTGAACTAAGTCAGAGGTGACAAGCTTTGAAGGGGTACAGAATATGAGTTTTGTTACAGTTTCAACTGCATGATTAACTTAAGGTCTTTTTCAGATTCCCTTTCTCCCTTCAGTGACAGGGCATTCTAGCAATTAAGACAAAGCACACGGGCATCTGAGTGGCTCAGTTGGTTAAGCAACTGCCTTCACCTCAGGTCATGATCGTGGAGTCCGGGGATCAAGTCCCACATAAGGCTCCCTCTCGACGGGGAGTCTGCTTCTCCCTCTGATCTCTCCCCTCTGAAGCTTTCTCTCTCTTTCTCTCTCTCTCAAATAAATAAATAAAACCTTGGTAAAAAAAAAAAAAAAGACAAAGCACACAATTTCAACTCTTACAATGACGGTATTAACATCAATCCTTCAGTTAAACCAAGGCCCATCTTTTGATATTACCATCAACCTGAGTCTATAGAACAAAACACCAACAGAAAAAAGCTAAATGCTTTTGAAAAGCATCAAGTAACAGAATTTATTTTAAATCTTTTCCTTGAATTAAAAAAAAAAATCTCTTAAACATTATGTGCACTGTAAGAGGGAAATCAAGTTCAAAGGGCATTTACTAAAAAGCCAAGCACAAAATAAGAGCTGTTTGCATTCTGTGGCATAACTGTAATTCCTCCGTCTTCCTTCAAATGCCTCCATTGTCCTTAGCTGCGACTGGAGTACGCCAATGACCGAAAGACTTTAGTTCCGAGATGCTAGTTAATAGAGTTTTTTACCTATTCAAAGGACAAAGAGAAAAACAAGGGACAATGACACATGCTTGTTGTAAGCAGAAAAGGAAATTAATGTGTTGCTTTAAATGACCACCAGTGGTGTCTAGATTAATAAAGTACAAATCATGTGGTGGTATAAGATATTGGTTGATGTTAAAAACATGACTTAAGGTGCTTGTTCTGTATGGCTGTCTTTTTGGTTGGGCAGAATCAACAGGTCACATCCAAATCTTATGTACTGAAAAGGAAAAATATCAACTGAGCCATGTTAGTGATTTCCTACAGTCAGGATAAAACAGTTTCCTTCACCTGTTCATAGTTAACGAAAGCAGATGTAAGGAGACGCTTGTAAATTTGTACTATTTATATCTCCAAGCAATAATTTTTATTATTTGTTTACCTAATAGGTTAAAAAAAAAACATTCAAAATATATGATCATAGTTCCAATTCAGTCTTGGTTAAGGTAAGAAAGAATGATCCTTACGGTCAGATTTTTGAATTGCTGGCAATCAGATGAGTACTAGCCATTTAGCATCACTTTTACTTACAGACCCACTGAAATGTCTCAAGGTGTGAGGGGAAAACTATACAACTGTATACTTTTACAACTTCAACCGGTCCTCAACATGCACACATAAGCTATAGATTCTTCTAACTCCTCCAATTACTCTCCATGAAAATGAAATGTTTAGTTGATAGGCTGAGACACAGTCCATTCTTATGTAACCTTAAATAAGGAAAACTATGAACAGGGATACAAAATTCTTTGGTTGGAATGAATTTTGCAGATGTAATTATGTAAGTTTACCTTCTTTATTGTTTTTTTCAGTAGCATTATTAAAATCAGTTTGGGGACAGAGTAGAAGCTGCCCATGTGTGGGGGCAGAAATGTTTATGTTGGGGATAGAGTGTATACAACTCAAAACTTTCGCAGATAGCCAAGTAAAGTTTGGGTTAAGACACTACCATAAGTAGCAGAGTTACACTGAATCCAAATGGGTTTGTTTGTTCGTTTAAGTATTTTATTTTTCAGTAATCTCTACACCCAACCTGGGACTTGAACTCATAACCCCGAGATCAAGAGTCAAACACTCCACCGACTGAGCCAGACAGGCACTCTGAATCTGAATGTTTGTAAAATGTGCCTGCATACCACGAGATAGTCACCTTGCCATCATACTTCACCAGAAATCTCTTCCAGGAACCAAGCCCCACCTCTTCACACAACACAGGTCTGAGAGAGGAGCACTTCCAATGTTACTAATCCCTGCATCTCCAGAGGCAACACAAAACATGTTTATTTATACTAATTGAAGGTCCAACTGCAGAGCTTTCATTTAATTTTGACCAAGTTTACACAAAAGTTTCTCTGCACTCTTGGCTATGGTATTTGCTCTCTTGGATGTCCTTAAAAGTTGGTTCTGGGGCACTTGGGTGGCTCAGTCAGTTAAGCGTCTGCCTTCACCTCAGGTCATGATCCCAGGGTCCTGGGATAAAGCTCCACATTGGGCTCCCTGTTTGGCGGGGAGCCTGCTTCTCCCTCCCCCTTGGCCTGCTGCTCCCCCTGCTTGTGCTCTCTCTCACTCTGACAAATAAATAAAATCTTTAAAATTTAAAAAAAAAAATTAAAAAAAAAAAAGTTGGATCATACTATTTTGTAAGAAGGGCATAAAGACATAAAGCCTATACAGAATGAGGCTTCAAAAGACTAGTAAGAGCACTTGCATGAGAACAAGCACAGATAAAAGATGGCTAAAAAGAAAAAAGATGGAGGGGCACCTGGGTGGCTCAGTGGGTTAAAGCTACTGCCTTCAGCTGAGGTCATGATCCCAGGATTCTGGGATCAAGCCCCCCATCGGGCTCTCTGCTCAGCGGGGAGTCTGCTTCCACCTCCTCCTCCTTCTCTCTCTCTCTGCCTAATTGTGATCGCTGCCTGTCAAATAAATAAATAAAATCTTTAAACAATAAATAAATAAATAAAAAGAAAAAAG